AATAAGTGCATGTAAAAATTGTGTATGTGCATATGTGTGTATCAATAAGTGGATATTAGCCAAATTTGATCTGAAATTTTCACTGTATAATGTTTGAACCTCTGATAAATATTAACCAGTGAATTCAGTGCATTGACAGGTTTGGTGTTTCTGTTGAAAAATAAATATCTTATGTAAAATAAATTATTTCTTTATCATTAGACTCTGGACTTGATATCTTCATACATACATACATACATACATATATATATATATATATATATAATCTTTCAATGTATGAGGACCCAATAACTTCATTCAGTTTTTATGCTTGTGTTGTATGTCACACTTTGGTTCCACTTGCATACATACATATATACAAATGTAACACACAATATAGAAATACTTATGGATGTGGGGGGGGGCTCTAAACAGACCTGACGAAGAAAAACACAGGTGCTCCCAAGCTAATTTCCCTGAATGGTTGAGAAGGAAAAGTCACGACATCACAACCTTACTGCTTTTAGTATGGTTCACTGAATGGTGCTGTATTGTGTTGTTGGTGATTTTTACAGGCAGGTACAATTCCAAGACTAATAAAACCTGAGGTCTGTTATATATATATATATATATATATATATATATATATAACTTTAAATTTTATTTTTAGTGGATACACATATTTGGGTAGTCACTCAATTCATTTATTAAACAGTGTATTTATTTATTTTGTCTACTGGCTTAAATATTCAAGAAATCTTATGAAAGAAAAATATGCATTCTCTGGTAGAACTTGAACCTGCATCTCTCTGTTGTTAGATCTGGCATGCCTTAATTGACTTGGACATGGAGCAGACTTGTAGATCAAGCAATGTTTGATGTATGCATTTAAGCGAAATCCTTCTCATATTAAATTCCTTGAAAATTTCGTATCTGCTCAGTTTCATATCCAAACATAAACAAAGTAATTTTCTAAAGTAATTGATTTTATTTATCAACCCAACAGTTTTTTTTATCACTTTAAACATTAATTTTAGTGGATACTTATATTTTAGTAGATGTTCTATTTACTTATTAAACAGTATATTTATTAATTTTTGTCTACCATTCTGAATATTCGAGAAATCTTATTAAAGAAAAATATGCGTTTTCCAGCAACACTCGAACCTGTGTCTCACTGGGCAGAAGAAAATAAATATACTGTTTAATAAATGAATGGAGTGTTTACTCATTTATAAGTATCCACTAAAATAATGGAGAGTCTCAGATTGAGGAATCAGAGAGCTGAGTTTGAATTCCAGTCCAGTTTGTTACATTCACTTACGTTCTAATACCCTTGAGAAATGGGGTATGAATTCAACTCTTCTCCTCCCAGCTATGGGTTAAATAGTAGGACAGGCTAGGTCCTATAGCTTTGAGTGGCAACCTGTCTAGTAAAAGGAAACCTCTGAACTCAAAACTTTATGTAGCCCTGATGAAGTACATACTATACAGTTAAGGAAAGGATCTTTCACATAGACTTGTGATTATCTCATCTATGGTTGACTTTCCTCCTTGCTACTACAACTTCATGAATTTAAGTTCAGTACTAGATTGGCAGCTTGGTCTCATCATGTCACTGATGAAATTGCTAAGTATAAATGTATATCTATGTTAATAGATTCTTATCTCATTTTTCTCGTTTGTGGAACTCTTTTCTAGTTTCTTGCTTTCCTGTCAATTTTGATTTTCAAAAAATTTAAATGCAACGTCAGTTCTCATCTCTCGTCTTTGGATCCTGGTCTTTTCTTTTGATGTCCTTGCTCAAAAGATTATGTCCAAGCATGAAACAGGCTATCACCCCTCAGTATTGACCTCAGTGTCTTCTTTTATATTTATGTATATTTTATATTTACATACTTTATATATGCTGTGTTGCTGATATCTGGCACTTCTATCCATACATATAGCATATCTTAAAACTATATTTTTATCTGTCTATATCTCTGAGATGAGGTATTATTTACATACACTGTTATCCTCATCTTCATTGGCATATTCACAATATTTGAAATTGCAATCACCTGAAGACGGCTGGAGTATACAACGGTGTTATAGTGGAACACACCTATTCTATAGTTAATAGACTCTCCCACCTATAATAAGTAGGAGTAGTAACAGTAACGAGGGAGTCGGTCAGTCAGTCGATGCTGGACGACCGTTAGTCAGATACTAAAGTATCAGCCATCACACCTAGATTACTCTGCGTTATACCTATTATATCAAATTCCTAATGTTTTCTATGTCGAACCTAATTTAGGACCGACTTAGTACAAATACAAGCCTCCACTGTGAAATCACTCCATAACAAATGGTCAAAATGTTGTGAATATAGCAATGAAGATGATGATAACAGTCCAAATAATGTAAATAATTTTTATCGTATATAAAAGAAAATTGTCTTAGAATATGTCTCATGGACAAGTTCAAAGTTGATAAAAATCAAATTATACATACTGTAAGCAAAGACTGTTTCCTCATTCCAAGTTATTGATAATTCTTTTCTTACCATCCACAAGTGATTCAGAGTTATAATAAACAGGAAATTGAGGGAAGTCGCATGCATTGTTCTGTTTGACATTAACGTATGTCAAGTCAGTGTAGACTTTAGCATGGTGTCGCTTTCTTGGTTCGCTAGAAAAGGAATTAACTAGCATCCTCACATATGAGAAAAAATAGGACCTCTTCTGTTACATGGACTGCCAAGAGTTTAATAACTTGTTATGCATTGATGGTAATGATTCAAGCTGGTCTGCATATTTACTACTATTTCTTTCTTTGCCACCATTTAAGGAAAAAAAAAAGGCTCTGAACTATATGAAACTGACGCCATCATAGACTTCCTGAAGAAGACTCATCTGTATCTAAAATTATAAGATTGCAGCTTGAAGCTCCACTTTCATTTATACATGTATCATGCTGGTATGTATATATATATACATACTAGATAGACTAATCCTACCAAATAGCAACACCAATAAGTTGCATGGCATATTTTTTTTTTTTAAATTTTTAAAGCATTTCACCCCAAGTAAGGCGGGAAGCCACCAGCACGCAAGGGTTTACAGAGAGTTGGAGCGAGAGCAAAGAGAGTGATAGAGGAAAGGATGAAGAGAAGGATAGGGGATAGATCAAGGCATCTGAAGACATCGATTGACATTACATTTGAATAGTTGGAGATTATACCTATCAGGGAAGCAGGAAAAGGAGAGGGAGTTCCACAGGCAAGAAGTGTGAGACATGAAGCTATTGGAGTAGAAAAGATGGCTACCATTTAACAGTTTTGACAGTGAAAGGGTGAGAGCGAGATGCCAGCCTAGTTGAGCGCTTAAATTCATGAAGTCTGCGAACCAGAGAAAGCAGCTCATCGGAGCAGTTACCATGAAAGTATTTGTAAAAAAAAGACAGAGGGAGGCGATGATCCATCTGTGAGAGAGCGATTGCAGACGAGATGCCAGATCAGGGCCAGTTATATTGCATATCCATCTCTGGATTTTATCAAGGACCTTGAGACAAACAGAAGGGGCTCCAGAACATATATGGTCCATGCATGGGCAAATGGTTGATTTGTAGATTTGAAGGATTGACTCCGGTGAGAAAAATTTCCTTGTGCGGCACAGTGAGCCAACTTTTCTTGATTTCAACTGTTGTTGAAATACCGTGCAACCCAACAAAACAAACCAAAAAAAGACTCTGTTTTTTTCTTTTTGGATTGTTGATCTGAAAAAGGCTGTAGATTGGATCAACCAAAAGGAACCAAAAGAATATGTTTGTTCTTCTTAATTAACTCTTGGATGGGAAAAAAATAAATTATTCAGACTATTTTGTAAACATTTTCATCAAATGTCAATAATCAACTCAATGTCTATCGTATAACATAAGCACTTTTGGTTTTCATTTGAGCAACGTAATATAGTAAATGAAATAAGTGGTTATGGTGGTTCCATCTCACTGTCCAGGGATGTATTACTTTAATGCCATGTATGTCCATAAAAAGTTAAACACCAATACAGCTTGATAGAATAAATGGATATCTTTAATAAAAGACATTCAGAAATGAAGGTGTTTTTGTAAGTGTTTATAATTTGACCAATGTTTCATGAGAACATTTACTATTTTTGTGTATTTATCAGTTAATTTTAGAGATATATGTATTTTAATCTGACCTTTTGAACTGATCAGTATATTTGAATTGCATTTAGTATTCGATTGAGATGTTTTATTGATAGTTTATATTTCTGTCATTCTTTAAAAATATGCTTGGTAGATAAGAAGTGCATCAGAATTGTTTTATTGTCATGATTGCAGCATGAATTCACTCAATTATCCTTAACTTCTGATAATTCAACCAAACAACTATTGTAACCAAACTACGGGATCATGATGCTTGGACTATCAAAATTGGACCAGTACTATTCCTTAAATTACGGATTATGTATAACTTTGGTTTTCTGTTTGATGTTAATGAAAAAAAAAAAAAGAAAGTGTTATTTGTGGTTAGGATTGATCAAAATGGAAAAACTACAAAAGAACAGAATTGACCAATGAGAATCTTTAAATATTATCTGCTGCAGACATTTATGGTTCAAGAATGAAAGAAATTTTTTTTTGTTCACAGAAGCATAAATGCAACCGTCAAATGCACAATTATAAACGAATCTATTTATGCAGCTGATCAATGCTTTTTTTTCTTCTTTTTTTTTTTTTACTTGTGTTTCTTTGTTTTGTGTCAATGGACAATTGCTTATTGTTATGGAAAAGCAATGGGGCTGTCAGTCAGAGGAGCTGTCAGCTGGTAAGAGACTAAAAAGAAAAGATGAATTGAGAATTGACATTTTATAGAGGAAGAATAGTAAATAACAGTTGGAATAATAATATCTACAGTATATATTTGTTGACTAGCAGCTTGTCTTTTCTAAAAATGCCTTGTCACCTTCCTGCTCAACTAATGCTTCCAGTCCTGGGCTGCCTAGTGACAGTAACTAGGGATGGGGAATTATTGCATTGAATGAACTGCCAGCCTCTGTGAAGTTGCATATAAATGGAAAATTGCAATTTATCGCATCTGGTAGATTTGCGTGGCCAATTTCAAGGGAAGCTGTAAATCTGTTAATTTTATTCCGTTTAGTTGGTCTTGAATACTCTATACGAAAAATAAGCATTGAGCAATAATTGCAAGATGGCATTTCTTCTTTTTAACCTTTTCACATTCACTACCAGGATTTTTTAATTTTTTTTACTAGCATTCTCTCTCTCTCTCATTTTTTTTTTTTTTCTTTTTAGTGGCTAAAAAAAAAAACAATTTTTATAATATCTCTGTACCAATCCTGACAACAACTACAGGGCACCCAGTGAGAAACCAACTTACTATCCCATAGTAATGATCTGAGAGATCCCCTCAATGGACAGTACTAAGAATAATTCAAACTCTTGGTTGTAGGACGCTCAATGAAGATAGAATTCATTATATTAATAAATTAGTCTGTATGACTGGTGTTAACTATCACACTACAGTAGGGGCCCTATTATACATGTGTTTGTGAGCGCAAACATTTCTGGGTACCTTCACTAATTCACGATACCTAAAGTTTAAAATTAATTTTAAAAAATGAAAAAGCTTTTTTTGAAGCTTTCATTTTAGTTTTAATTGAAAGCTAAAGAATTAAATTTATTATTTCCACTAAGCAAAATAGTGTAGTGTATTTCAAACAAAAATTTTAATGATTGGAATTGATTTATTTATTTAGTATTTGCTAAAATAGCTGATTAGCACCCTTTTTAGTCATCTTCCATTGCACTATAATTCTCTGTATTGAAAATCTTCCAAAAATATTATATAATTTTCTAAAACTTTATTTGAGGAATATTTGCTGATTTAAAGTATAATTAATCTGATTTGAAACAAATATTATTTACTTTAAGTTTAAAATAATACAGAAATGCATTTTTAAAACAAACAGTAGCAGTGATTTTTAACCATCAGCAGCCATGTTTAAGAGCAATGACAAGTGCTGATATGGTGTTGACAAGTTTATTGTTGTTCTATTCATACTTTACCTGTTAAAACATAATTTAAGAAAATGACAGGTGAGCGCCTTTTTTATATAATTTTAAAGTACTCACTAATCTTAAAGTGTTGGAGAATGTTCTCCGTAGTCTAATTTTAGTAATGTTGACTTTAAATTTACTATAGTCATTGCTCTTATTTTCTGACAATTTTGTGTATAGTCCCCTATACTTTGAAAATGGGCACGTTTATACACATAAAAAAAATATTTTTAAAATCTTATTGTGTTATGATTTATATTAAGCTTTTCATTTTTTGATTAGTAAATATAGTTTTCACTTAATAACAATATCACCTAACTCAATCAAAGTTTTGCAGAATGTCTAAAAGATTTGAATTTTATAAATTATTATAATTAAAATGAAAACAATTCTTGTAAAAATTCATTATTCATTATAAAAAGATTTTTTCTTAGGACTATAATGTTCTTTAATAAATATTATTTATAAAAGCAATTAAAAGCTTATCTATTTAAATAATGTCATAGTTTTATTGCATTTTTCATTTTACTATTTGGAGCTGATTTTCGAGAAAACAGTAATTTTGTGAAAAAAAAGAAAAAAATGAATGACTTACATTCTTCAATGAGTCCTGTTTTTAATTAAAAAAAAAAACAAAAAACTGTGTGGTCAGGATTTAATTTCCAGAAATTTTTACCAAGATTTTCTAAAAATAATAATTTCAAAAATAATTTCTTTCATTTGTGAATAAGTCCTGAAACTTTCATTAAAATCTGATGATTATTTGATTTTTACAAGAATTTCCAATTCAATGTGTTTTTAACCACAAAAAATACACTAAAATTTTTCATACTCATTTATGGTCCCCACTGGCATTACTACTACTCCCAAGAAAATTAAATTTCAGCATTAAATGACATAAGGAGTTGCCATGCTGCTAAACAAACATACTCAATGTTTTATTTTGGCCTGCATTGAGTCCAAACCAGAATCCAGTCAAAAATCTTAGATGTTTGTAATTGTATAATATGTGACTTGCCTTAGATGATGCCAAAATAGACTTTAAACTTCGTGTTAACAGATGTGTCAGAGAAGCCAAGTGCATCAATGGCTGACCTGAAAGGTAACCTCCTAGCCACCAGGCGCAGATTTGTGGCTGCTGCAATATAAAAAAAAAACAAGTGGTTGACACAGCTGCACTTGTAATGTTTACACATGGGGTGGTTGATGACAGGAGGATATATAATCGCTCATTTGAGAGGGAAGAAGAGAATGTTGAATCCACCTTTTGTAAAATTTTCCCAAAGCTAGACACCCACTCACTGACAGTAAGTGACAATGTCCTGCGTTGAATAAATAGTAATATTCTTTATAAGAGATTTAATCGCATGTTTTTATTAGTCTGTATAATGATAACATTTTGATTGAGTTAGATTCAATGCTTTATGAAGGTTTTAAAAAAGAAATCAGATCTGTCAGGCAAACTGGACATGTTTGCACATTGCACTATTAAATATCATAAGTTGACACTATTCTGAGCTAGTCTGCAATATTGGATAGGTATGGATTGACTGGATTGTTTTTTTTGGGGGGGGTGGGGGGTCCTAAAAATATTGTATCATACTTTGGAAAGCTTTTAAGGAAGATGCTTTAGATAAAAGGCAAGATAGATTCCATGATTCACTGTCAGGAGGATGTTGATTTGTTTTTTTTGATATGCACAATGTTTTTTTTTTTGTTTTTCTTTAATAATCTTCATCCTATACAATGCCTAAGAGCCACTCAAGATAAAGAGTTATTGAAGGAGGTTGTTATGTGTGCAATAAAGTAAGAGGTTCAGTCTATAGAGATGCCATTATTGGAAGTGTAGCGAAAAATTTTCACTACACTTCAGAAATTTTCGCTACACTTCCGATCTTTGAATTTCAACATACAAATGTGTATGTATATAAACAACAGCACACATATACATACATATGTCAAATCCCATACTGTCCACATATGTTTATGTCTGTATGAGCCCTGGCAGACAAGCGAATGTGTATGTGTGTCTCTGATGCCTCAGCGGGTGTCTGCGGACATGCATCTATGTTTGCGTTAGCATGAGTGACATCACAATGATTTCCACCCCCACTTCCATAATAACATCAATACACGCAATCTACATAAACCCAAAATTTTAAAAATTAATCAGTTTTCTGATGATTGCAAAAGCGTGAAACCCAGGGTCACAAACTCACATCCAACCAAATATGTTAGCTCTATCTCTGATATTGAGCACTTTCTAAGTACCGCACATATAATATATAAATAATAATATATATATACAGATACACACACACACACACACATATATATATATATATATATATATATATATATATATATTTATACACACACTTTTCAGATATATAAAAACAAATATTATTTATTTTGTTTAAATATAATCGTTGTCAATTGCTTCTTCCACCACGAGGAAAGTTGGCTCTCTGTGCAAGCATGAAATTTTCTCCCGAATCGATACTTCAAATATACAAATCAACCATTAAGCCCTTGCATGGAGTATTGCTGCCATATGTGGTCTGGGGCACCTTCTGTTTTACCTCAGAGTTCTTGACAAGATCCAGAGACAGATATGTAATATAATTGGCCCTGATCTGGCGTCTAAATCTACAGTCACTCTCTCACAGGCGTGCCGTCCTCCTCTCTGTCTTTTTCTACAAATACTTTCATGGTAATTGCTCCGATGAGCTGCTTTCACTGGTTCCCAGACTCCATGAATTCAAAAGCCCCCTCTGAGGCTGGCATCCTGCTCCCACCCTTACACTGTATAAACTTTTAAATGTAACCGTCTCTTCTACTCCAATAGCTTCATACCTCGCACTTCTCACCTGTGGAACACCCTTCCCAATTACTGTTTCCCTGAGAGCTATAATCTCCAACTATTCAAATGTAATGTCAATCGACAACTCCAGTCGCCTTGATCTACCCACTATCCTTCTCCTCATCCTTTCTTCTATCACTCCTATCTGCTCTCGCTCCAAATCTTCTGCAACCCCCTGTCATCCTAGTGGCTTCATGCCTTGCTCAGGGCATAATGCTTAAAAAATAAATAAATAAATAAAAAAAAAAGATAAACCAAAATAAATGTTTGGGCATAAGATGACTCTAAAGTATTGATATGCCGTTAAGAATCCACTTAAACTTATGATGATATGTGGGAAAAATAACTGTTAACCCTAAACTTGAACGTGTTAGATTGTAGTGATCAGGGAAACATCCTAGTGGCAGTCGGTTCTGCAGAGCAGTTGTTTGTAGGAAGAAGCTGCTTGGGTGGAACTTCTTACTAATGAAATATAAAGGGAATCAAGGTGGTTTGCCTCAGTGTATACAACATGACAGGTCTCAGTTGGGAGGGTTAGAGTTAGAGGAATTAAGGAATGTAACTCATTTGAATATTTTCCGTGGGAATAGGAATAGAGTAGCAAGATGTTTCATCTGGGGGAAAGAGGTTGGAGGGTGGAAAATAATTAATCACCCACAAGTCTGGCAAGTGAAGACTGAGCATCTCCAGCTTAGTAGTACTCTATTTTTGACCTGATCTGGCTCTTGTAAAGTTAGAGTATATACTCTGATTTTTTGTGAATATTTATGCAGATACTATACTGCTATATAGGTGCAACTTTAAAAATCTGGCAGAATCTGGAAGCTGATCTCTCCTCTGAAATAGCTCTAATAACTCAATGATGGGAAAAAACTGGCTGATCACATTCAACACCTTCAAAATCAATTAGTAATGTTACATCATCACCAAACAAACGCTGAATTTTCATTTATCACAATGAATAGATGCTCTCTGAAGGAGGCCCCTTGCCTACTGCAACTTAAGCTTTCTCCAGTCCTTAAGTGGAACTTGTATATGTGATCCATCGCATGAACAAGGAATTCCTGGAAAGACAGTTAATCAGCGGTTTTATTTCAAATTATTGCCACAAAATGAAACTTAAATGTGTTGGTTTTTGAATTTGGTGGCATAGTAATTCTGAGTTCAATCCCTGAACTAGGTAGTACATCCTCGGACTCAGTGGAAACAGGATTATCAATAGCTGAGTAGTAATCAAAAAAAGAAAAAAAAGAAGATTAAAGAGTTTTAAATTCACTGAAGAAGACCAGAAACATGACTGAAAGTAATGAATGGTAGTAACAACAAAGATGAAGATATTAGTTTGAATGCATATAATGTAAATATTGATTTTTTTTCTTTTTCTTTTTCTTTTTTTTTTTTCTTTAATTTGATGTTTTTAATGATTAGAATTTGGACATATTCATGATATTTTTCATTATTTTTTTTTTCCACCCATTTTCTTTCTTTTTCAGGTAAGTGAAAACATCTTTTTTATTTGTGCTGGTTGTGTTCATCACTGAATATTACAGGTATTTCATACTTTTATCTACCTGAATTATTGTTGATAACCAATATATACACAATGATCTGACTTTGAAAGGAATCTTTGATAATGGGTCACGTAATCTTTAATTTATGATTTATGTATGTTGAACCCATTTTTTTTTTTTTTTTTTTTTAAGTAACAATTTAGCATCACAAAACTAATCAACCAATTCAATGCATTATTTTTAATCTTGTCCATATAGTTTCAATGACAAGTTTAGCTTTGGGAGAAGCTAGAAATCCCAGGAATCCAAATCTGGACTGTATAGAAATGGACTGACAGACACGGGTGATATTTTGCTCAGAACCTCAGCACCAGATGTGAAGATACTACTAATTTGTTATGAATGAGTTCTACAGAGTACATGGACTTACTCAATTACATCTTGTTACCAAGTAAGAAACCATAGAGAAGAGTGACTTGTCGTGCATGAATAGTAATAGACGGACAGAGGACGATGCATAGGCAGACAGAGAGGACGATGCATCGGCAGACAGAGAGGACGATGCATCGACGGACAGAGGACGATGCATAGGCGGACAGAGAGGACGATGCATAGACGGACAGAGGACGATGCATAGGCAGACAGAGAGGACAATGCATGAGCGGACAGAAGGGGCGATGCATGGCGGACAGAAGGGCGATGCATGAAGCGGACAGAGAGGGGGCGATGCATAGGCGGACAGAGAGGACGATGCATAGGCGGACAGAGAGGACGATGCATAGACGGACAGAAAACTATGCATTGACGGACAGAAAACTATGCATAAACGAACAGGGAGAACGATGCATAGACGGAAAGAGACGGACAACGAATAGATGGACAGAGAGAACGACGAATAGATGGACACAGAGAACAATGCAGATACGGAGAGAGAGAATAATGTATAAATGGAAAGAGACAGAGAGAATGATGCATAGATGGAAAGAGAGAATGATGCATACACAGAAAGAGACGGACAGAGAGAACAATGCATAGACGGAAAGAGACAGCTGTATAATGGGGGAAATAGGCAGAAAGGCATACTGATGGAAACAGACAGACAAATAGCTAAGATCAAAGAAGATATTGATAGACAGATACAGGGATAGACTGACAATTGTAAACGTGACCCTCTAAAAACAAAAGAAAAATGTTTCCTATTTATTTTTTATGACCATTTGCACTGAAACACAGCACGCAAAAATAGTCTCTATGTCCTTTCAATTATTTACTCAATTCAGTCAAGACAGAATATTGTCTTAAGTTATTTTTGTAATTGGTAGTTAATTTTTTATACAAAGCTTAGCAATATTCCTCACATGCACATATTTCACCCAAATGAGACTGTCGCCCTTATATAGAATGACTGCCAATTTCTTTTTACCTGACATTTTGTGCTTGCAAACTGGATATACATGAATATGTACAAGAACTTTCTATTTTACACTCTGGACCTAATCAAGCATGGTGGCAAGTATAGCACAATGACTAACAAGTTCATCTTAATAGAAGGCATTTATTTGATCTTATTTATTTTACAAAGAATAAGAAAAGTATGAAAAGGTTGCAAGCAAATGGGGTCTGTAAGAACCACTGTTATTTCAACAAATGCTGTACATTGAAGATAAAAGAAATTAAATTCGACTTCATTTTTAAATTTTGTTGATATTTACTTAATACGGTACAGTACAAGGGTGACATTGTTGGTAGAAAGATTGTATTGCACCAGTTTTCCAAATTGAGAAAATCCTTATAATCCTTTTTTTTTTTTTTTTAATATATATATAAACATAAAATTATAAAATATAGGTTCATAGTTTATGTTTATTTAAGATTGAAACACTATTGAGCCCCTTTACTGAGCATTTTTATATTATTTACACTGTTTACATTGTTTGGAGTGTTGTCCTCATCTTTATTGTTCTATTCATGTTTCGACTTTTGTATGCTCCGGCCTTCTTCAGGTGATATATATATATAAATATTTTTAATACGTCATCTTAGAAATATAGACAGATGTTTTTATATTAATTAGCATTGTCCAACCCTAAGTTTTTTTTCAATCTCTCTCTGTAATATATCTATGTATGTTGTGTAATAGGGAACAAATCGTAAAGAAAAGATATTCAATATAAAATTTCAGTAAAAAAAAGTTCGTGCTCATGTTTAACTTAAAAAAATTGTTCAACAAAACACTTGGTGTAGCCTTCAATTGATTGACTTATTTTGTGTTTTTATGGTTTATCGACCTTTCTTTATTTAAAGCTGAAATATATTTGGGATTGTAAGTTGCTGTTTTTGGTGAGGGAATATTACATTACAGATTTTTGGAGATGACAATGATTTTTCCAGATACAAGTTCTGTTATTTAACCCACAGCTGACAGAAGAAATAGATTCATACCTTTCCCAAAGGTATTTACACGTAAGTGAATCTAACGAATGTCACTGGAAATTCCATGCTGCTTTCTGTTACACCACCTGCACATCTTGTGGCCTTGGAAGTAACTACATGCCCAAATCAGGTAGTTCTCATTTATGTTGGCTATTACATCAAAGATGACCACCTTCATCGAGTTTTTGATATTGTCGGGCCACTATTTATCCTCCTTCTTGATGATGCATCACACATTGTAACCCAAAAGATTAAAATCAGAAGAACTAGGAATCCACATATTGAGGCAGAGGGTGGTGACATAATCATGACAATTTTCAGCCACTACTGGATCATGTCAGCCATATGTGAAGGAACAGAGACCTGCTGGAAGCTGTATAGCCACCTCTTTGATTCAGGGCTTGCTCACAGGTATTGCACCTCAGGAGCTGTAACATTGATCTTCAGGCCCTGGAGAAAGAAGCAAATATGGTTCTGGTGCTTGTTTTTCACAGCCTCCAAGACCATATCTTTGGATATATGAACACTTGCAAGAAGCTAGCTATCTTCAAGTTGTTGTGATTAGTAACTGTTTCCTTTTACAGAGAAATGGAAATATGAAAATTTTCCACATATTTATATTGAACTCTCCTGGCTACTGGCGTTTATATACATTTTCTATAGAAAACATTAAAATTTCCCTCTCTGCTGTGTGCCGATTGCTTAGGGGTAAGATCTCTGACTGATGGCAAATCAACAGAGTTTCGATTCCAGCTTGAAGTAATCAGATGTCTAGCCATGCTGAAGTGCTGTGATACAGTAAAGCAGTCTGTCTGTGGATTACTGTATATATGTATGAAAATGGCTAGCCAGTTGTTTTGAAGCCCACCCATCAGCTGGAGTGGCTAACCGATCCTTTTTGCACACTTCTGCTCAGGCACATTTGCATTTTCCATACTAGGTTTATGCTGAGTTTGTTATAATTTATGGGAGAGAATCTGGTATGATCAACAGTTTCAACAAAGCCAGTACACTGAAACCCTCTGTCACAATGACTTGAGACATTGTGTTAGAACAACCATCTAATGCCTTTTGAACAAGGCTTCGATTAAACTATGGCATGGTTTTCAGGGAGTTTCCCAAAGGTATGACATGTTTTAATAACATTCTAACAAATTGACCATGGTGAGATTTGTATTGGGTCTCATGGATGGAAAGCAAACATTCTACACTATATATATATATATATATATATATATATATATATATTCCATATCCCTCAAAATGCAGGTGATTATGACTCTTCATAGATTCCTTTTCTCTGTTACGGATAAATTGCCCTGTATTCTTTGGAAATATAGTGGAGTGGTTTCCCATTCTTCCCTCACAGTTTGGAATTCAGAAGTTTTCCTCTTAGACTGCTTTCCATCTAGGAATAGAGAGTCCAGTCTTCCCTCCTATTGAATTCCTAGCTTGGGGGAGAAGAAACAAATTTATGCTTTTCTTGGTGTGAAAGTAAATGCAACAGACTTACACATATTTTGAACTTCTCTCTATATTAGTGTGAGTGAAATTTATACTTTTTTTTTCTTTCCTTTTTTGTATTCTTCATTACATAGTTTACAATTTCATAATTTGAAATTCATTTATTTTGTGTCTGTAATTCTTGCATGCTTTGCCCATGAATTTAAAAAAAATTAGCTGTCTTATGCAGATTGCAATTATAAAACAGAATATAACAAAATACTAGTATATAACATGACCAACTTTAATTGGAGAACTCTTTGAAATTGATATTTTGGCACTAAAAGAAGGTTGACTTGAATTAGCTCATATTTCATGCCATAGTCAGATTGTGAAAAGATGTATCGTCTTTCTAGGTAAGATGCGGTAATGTCATCAATATATTTGGAATTTCCTTCAGTTGAGATTTAAAATGCCTACTTTTTTAACAAAATGTCAATCCTCAAAAGAAAAATCACTAATAGGGTTATTTTTGTCCCATGTAATTTATTTTAGTCGAAAGATTGTGTGATCCATGTGAAGGTCACATAATGTATTTTTTTCTATGCAATATTGAGAATGATTATTCAAAATTTTAACCTATCCTGTTATTTTTTTGTGTGTGTGTGTGTGTCTCTATCTATCTATCTATCTATCTATCTATGTGTGTGTGTGTCTATCTCTCTCTCTCTCTCTCTTTCTCTCTCTCTATATATATATATATATATATATATATATATCCTCTTGGAAATTATATATATATATATATATATATATCCTCTTGGAAATTATATATATATATATATATATATATATCCTCTTGGAAATTATATATATATATATATATATATATATATATGAAATGTATGTGTGTATATAAGTAGAGACATGGAGATATGTGTGGGTGTTGTAATGGATAATGGCCTGGGGTGAGAAATTGGAGGGGCCAGTTTGAATTTTAGTCAAGTTCATTACATTCACTTATATGAAAATAGCCTTGGAAAAGGTATGAATCCATCTCTTTATCTCTCCCTAGCTATAAGTTAAATAGTAAGGCAGACTGGCTTTTTAACCTTGTTTGGCAACCAATCTTGGAGAAGTACAACTCTGAATCAAAAAATTGAGAAGAATTGTTCGGAGACCTTGTTGCTCCCTGTGTATACCATTCAGTTCTGTATTCAGTTCTTCAGAGAAGTGTGGTTGATTCTGCACATTTCCTCACCACCATAATCAAATCATCTGTGCTGCTAGTCTGGCTGTTTGTATCTAAGAACTGAGAAAACTATATATGTGATCATAGTAAGAAAAAACTGCCTAACAACTTAGCTCATAAACTTTTACATTTTGGATCATGAGGATGTAAGTGGCAGAATGGAAATTTGATGACCTGCAAGATGGGATGCTTGGTATGAGTGAAACTTACTACAATGATAATAGTCTACTAGATCAGCTCATTAACCATTACTTTTAAGTGAAGTACTTGCTTAAAGCTTAATCACTAAATGAAATATGACTTGTCAGATGTAAAATACTATCTTAAAATATATGGATATGTCGGTGTTATACACCAGCTAAGAATAAGAAATCATTGGGTTAGTTATTTTCACTTATGTGTAAATACCCTTGTAAAAGGTATGAACCCATCATATATGGATTAAATAGTAACTGGAAAAAATCATTGTTTTTTACAAGAAATTGTTAATGCAATATTCACTCACAAATAAAGAATTATTCTTAGAATTCCGACTATGTTGATAACGCAGAAAATATCATTTAAATATATGTATATGATAAATAACAGAATATCCCTCCATAATATTTGCATGCACATGATATTGAATATCATTTTTAATCCTAGATTTTTTTAATTTTTTTTTAATAAATCTTGCTGCATTTGAAACTACCAAGTTTTGATTTAGAATTTACACCAAAACTTAATTATTAGTTGTAATTTATTTGTGCATTTCATCCTGTTAGAAGACACAGGACTTGTAAAAACATCATAAACATCTTCAGAATTATGTAGACATCAGCATTTTTAAATGCCATTATGCTTCTGAGATACTGCTATCTAGCAGGAAGCATAAATATAGAGAATATGAATTCATTGCCAAGTGGGGGAACATTAAATTGTACTATTTTCAGTACAGCGTATTATTATTTTGTGAAAATATAGAGCCTCAGAGTATGTACGATACTAGCAGCTTTTCAATATGGGAGAGATCCTCTCATTCCTCAAAATTGTACTATTTTCAGTGCAGCATAAGTACGTACATAATTTGGCAATGTGTGAGAGTATATCAGCCACCAAAAAAATCTTAGCAGCTGTTCCAGGATAAAGAAATTTGTTGAGTTATCAACCAGATGTAAGGGGTTAAATTATTAAAACAGATTTTTTGTCATTTAATTTTCACTGTATATATAGTAAGAACTTGAGTAGGAATTTTACTGATCTTCAAAATGCTAAACTTCATGTTGTCATCATTATTTTTATATTTTTATAGAAAATTTTCTGTGACATTACATCATTTCATATAAAGTGACTCAAGATTATCCAGAGAGAAAATTTATTTTGCCTCAGCATCAAATATTGAATTGGATAAATGTAATTATTCATTAGGTTTCTCCTATCATGCTGCAAATTGGTGAGGAACACTGATGACCACAAAATCTCTGCTGTTTTCTTTTGGCATTTATACAGCACAAAACCAGATATTCTCTGAAAGACAGTGGCACGGACAAAGAAAAACTCAAGAAAGAACTTGAGTTTTTCTTTCACTCATGCCATTAAATTCTTGAAGACTGGGCACGAACTTCATGTTTCAAAAATTTAATAAATGATGAGCAAGGTCTGCTTCATGACCGAGATAGCCTGTGTATATGTGATTGGTAATATGGGTCAAAGCCAGCAATGTCGATGCTGATTTTCAAGATTTGCAAGTGATTTTCATTTAGATTGATGCAACATGATATTCTTACTTAAGTAATCTTTTTTCATCTTATAATAACAACAACCAGAAATACTTGTGAAAATTTTCCTATTTGAATTATCTGATGAATCATAATTCTTAAATTAATGATTGAATCATCTTTTGATGAGTCCTACCTGTGGAAATTCCCCCATTACATCATTAAATATTTGAGCTTAAGTAGTGTTTATTATTTTTGTTGTCAATTCTCAAGAACAAAGAAAATTATTAACACTATTGCCAAAATGTTGTGGTAAGAACTACAAAGATAAGGACAATAGTCCAAATATAGTGTAAAGGATGATAACTCTTCATCCAAAAAATTCAGACAAAAACAAAAGAATATATAAATTCACTTTCATATGTTTAGGTTTTATTGCAATTCTAATCATTTATTTTTAAAACAATAAAAATTGTGAAGGTAGTTAAAATAATAGCAGTGTCAAGGGAAAAACCACCCTTTTGACACTCCATATTTTTTGTGGGTACAAATTTCCAAAATTGCCAACAACTTTAACAAAATATTGCAGTAACGATCATAAGTATGAATGCAGGTCATTACTGAAAGAAGTAAGAGGGTACAAATGAAAAGATCTGAAATTGACAAGTTTTTCCATTTCATGGAAGCAGGCATTAAAAACATAATGGTGTTATCATTCCTTTAGCACCATGCCTTGAAAGACTGTTAGGCCTCAAATCCACACCCAACATGAAGTTTAATTCATACATACAATCTATTGCTAAGGATGCAGATAAAATGGTTGGCTCTCTGTACTGTTCCATTAAGCACCTGACGACTCCTGCTATTCTCTATCTTTACTAGAGCCTGATCAGGCCAAAATCAAGTACTGTTGTCATGTTTGGGAAAGAGCCCAGACCTCACGCTTCAGCCTTGAGCTCAAATGCATCTCTGGGGCCTTGTGGGTGACAAATTATTCTCCACCTTTCAAACTCTTTCCCACAGGTTGGATGTGGCAAGCCTCTTTCTGCTCTACCACTCCTTCCATGGAAAGTGCTTAGATGAACTACATTCTCTGGTCTCGCCAAGACAAACCT